TAACACGTGCGGCCCCGTGAAAGTTTTTTATAGGTAAATCATTATCTCAGGAATCACGGAGTCTATAAGGCTGAAATTTTAGGGTAATGACCCCGCGCCCACGCTCAACCTCATTAATAGGCAATCGTTCGATGGGCTGAATTGCACAAAACGCATGATCGCACCGGATAGCCTGGTGCGCGTTGCTATTTTTTTCTCTCTTTTTTTTAAACAAACGTATTATTGGAACCCAAACTGGTTTTTTTTTAAAAGCAAACGCATGGTGTGGTCAGGCAGTGAAGTATTTTCCGCAAAGCGCAGAATATGCTGAGGCCTTCGATTTTGATCTGCATACCTCACGCACCCACTGTCTGTTCAATATGTTCACACCAGGGCTGCCCAAGAGGACGTTTACTTTCTCGGGGATACCACTCACTAATGCGCAAGGTCCACCAGTTGTCCACAAAGCGAGCAACATGTTCTGCCCATTGGATTTTACTTTCTTGCATGGTCGTAATGATGTCTTTTTGCCTGAATTACAGCTTTATGTTTACATCAGGGCTGCCCAAGAGGTCGTTTACTTTCTCGGGGATACCACTCATTAATGCGCAACCTCCACTAGTTGTCTACAAAGCGAGCAACATGTTCTGCCCATCGGATTTTACTTTCTCGCATGGTCGTAATGATGTCTTTTTCCCCGAATAAATGCTCTAAAAAGTTAACTAATTTTGAAAACTGCATATATAATATTTTGAGTAGTGAACAATGTAACAACAGCAGCAACAACAACAACAACAATATCATCGAATTACTGAGCAATTTTATTAACAACAATAGGATAAACAAACAAAAAGCTAAGAAAAAAAAGAAATTACGCAAAAAAAATAAACAGATGTTGCTCGGCAAATAAACAAAAACACTGTTCCTATATATTGAATGAAAGCCTAATAAGAAGCAAAATTCGTAAACAATATCGCGATATTGCAATATCGTGAATACATTTATCGTAATAATGCAGCAAGTAAGAATATCATCAGAAATGAGGCACGGAAGCAGCTGATTACACACGTCTTAGGCGCTGAAGTTCGCTTGTTTTCACGGGTGTGTGTTATCGCCTTTGCTGAGCTGTTCCTATGGATTTAAACCGGTACTTCGTTGGCTTAAAAAGAGGCAGGTCAGGAAACAGTAGAACAAACCACAGGAGTGAAGATGCTAGAAATACCTCAAAAATGACGGATTAGCGAAATCCGCACAGTTTTAAGGCGATGAAAAAACGAAGCAGAAGGATGAAAGGATGGGCCAGCTAAGCGGGATCCCTCCGAAACAGACGAAGGACGGGAATGGCCCGAAACGTCTTATCTCTCATTCTTGCCTTCTTTCCTCATACCGTTCTTGCTTTCTGTATTCCATCGCACCTTTGCCATTTTCGGCTTCTAAGATCAACCTAGATGCTACAGTCGGTTCAGCATGGCATAAAAAAATCCACAAAATCCACACAGGGTAAGTGGATTTACTCGAAAAACACCGGGTTTTCAGTCGTTTGAGCTAACGAGGCTGTGATACCAGAACAAGCATTTTAAACATGAAAAAAAATATATATCGAAAGATAAAAAAGAAACATCTGGCAGTAAATGACGCAGATTCGTTCGCAAGGGCAGACCTAACTTATAGGAAACCCGTTTATATCTAAAGAAAATTGTTATTTTCTAAAAAAAAAACATGCCTTTGTGTTGGAGGAGCATCTGCTAGCAGTTCGAAAATGGCAGAGTTCGAAACAAGATGGTGATGCTAAACAAACTTCATGGACAACTTACAACTCAGGGATGAAATACGGACAGGTTACCAGATCACTAATGCACATACAGGCTTGCTTATTTGGGAGATCTAAATGGCACTTCCAATTATGCGTTTTTGCATATATGTAAATTGCAAAAACGCATATTGGGAAGAGGCTGTCTGTGTGTGTGCGTGTGTGTGTGTGTGTGTGTGTGTGTGTGTGTCTGTATGTTCGCACTTTTTGTAACCCACTTTCAACTCGAGAATCAGAAAAGCTAGAAGGCTGAAACTTTAGGGCTATGTGCCTATACCATGCGCGACCCTCTCGTTTTAATTTCATCTCCCAT